TGTATTCCAACCATCATGAGGCTATCTAAATGAGCATTTGTCATAACAGAACGCAAATTATTTTTAATTAGTCTCATTGAATTATTATTATTATTATTATTATTGTTATTGTGGTTGTTGTTGTGATGAAACACAAACGATATGGTGGCTAAACGAATATTACATGTAAATATTTTTTTTTATTTGTTTGTTCCCCAACAAAATTTATCGTCTTCGGGGCTATGCTTCCCCGACGGCGGGGGCTATAGCCCCCCCTCTGGCGCCACCCCTGGTAGTAGGTATCTTGTACAGGGACATGTTCCCTTTTTTGCCTACCAGACTCATTACATTTTGAGTGAAATAAAATTATGAATTATGAATATGAATTATGACTCCTGATTTTGAGACTTGTCTCCTGATTGAAAATCATTCTCCTGATTTTCCCCAGCTCCTGATTTTCCCCAGCTCCTGATTTTCCCCAGCTCCTGATTTTCCCCAGCTTCTGATTTAAGAATGAATAATCACTAGGCCTATATTAAATATGGATGGTAAAATTTAGCCTAATTCAAATTTTACAAATTAGCAATTTTAAAGTTACCTATCCAAATTGATCATTTTGGCTCTCGAAACAGCAAGAATCCTGAAAGTTCCAGGGCTTTCTTCCAGTTGCGGCTCTAGGATACTTTTTCTGGGGGATTAGCTGTCCAACAGGGGGCTTGAGCTTGTATGCTTGAAGAGAAGGGGTTTTGGAGGGGTCCCCCTCCCAAACGAGATTTTTTTAAAATAGGGACCTCTGGAAATGGCACTCTACGACTGTGAAAGACATGTTTTGGTTTGGTTTAGGCCTATTAAAAAACAATTTTTTTTGTCCAACTACCCAACGTATTCAGCCAGTGGGAGGAGGGGGAGCTTGACTTGTCCGATGGGGGGCTTAACCCCCTGCTCCTCGCTGGTGCCGCCACTAGGGGATTCCCCACGGATACGCACCAGGGCTTTGCCCTGGACCCCACCTAGCAGTCGTCCCCCTGGCCCAGCTCATGGAGAGGGGGACTCCACTCCCAAACCCGTTCCCAAACCCACTCCCCGCTCAACCTCCGTTTGGCACTATGCGCCAAAATACTCACCATCTATGAAGAAACACGTAGGGTCTACATTTTATTTTGTTCTGATTTTTATTATTCAAATGTTGGCATGTGTATTGTATTGTTGATAGTGAACCTACAGTACCTAGGCCTAGGCTAGGGCCTAGCCTAGCCATACATGCCAACACTCCTGATTTGACCAGGAGACTCCTGATTTTGAGACTTGTCTCCTAATTGAAAATCCTTCTCCCGATCTTCCCAGTTTCTCGTGATTTAAGAATAAATTGAATCACTTTATACAGATGGTCAATTATAGCCTAATTCAGATTTTACAAATTAGTAATTAGTTACATCCAAATCAATCATTTTGGCTCTCTAAACACAAAGAATCCCACCTTAAGAGAGAGGGACACCCTAACCCTCTCCCAGACCTGTTCTCCTGATTTTTATTACTTAAATGTTGGCATGTAATGTACTGGTAAGATTTTGAAGGTGGTGCATTTTTTTTTGCCAAAGGTATTTCAATACATTTGATGCAAAAAAAAAAGAGTAGGGAGGGATGAACACCAGGAAAGTATACAGCAAGATGTGGAATTCAACTCTCAGACTACAAAAAAAAAAATCCGTTTTTAAGAGGTCATAACTTGACAGAAGCTATCCAATTTTTTAAGTACATTAGATTATTTAAATACACCAGATTTTTTGTGTGTGACAGAAGTACCGGGAAACTGCTTTTCTTTTTTTATTTTTTTCTTTATGGAGGGTTTCAGTTCTCATGTATGTATTATCATACTAATCATGCTTACAAAAGTGGTGTACTAAACCATAACACGTTTCTTGGATTTGGTTTAAATGGAATGTTCACCTAAAAGCAAACAATACTAACTTTTTATTTAAAAAGTGGAATATGGGTCAATGTATGAAATATTAAAACGCAGAAGAATCTGAGAAAAATATGAAAAAGTAATTGACCTCAACCCATGGGTCTCGAAACAATGATTCAACACAGGATTATTTTGCATGCACATCTTAACCACTACACCAATGATTTATCACTCATTGTCACAAAGACAAGGTAATACCCAGAGAGGTAAATTATTTTATGGTATCATAAAATACATAAGAATAGCACTACCTGATTAACTAGATGGTGATTATGAATTCTAGCTCAGGGTCATTGACTTTTCAATTATTATATCAAATGGCAGCATTTACTGAATTGCATGATACATTCAGAGAGCTAAACTATTTTCCAGGTATCATCAAACACATAAGAATAGCATAAACCAAACACTAGATGATGATTATGTACTCTAGCTCAGAGTCGTTGACTGGTGACCCACAGGCAATTTTCGGACGCGAGTGCATGTTATCCAGCTTATAAGAATAAGCATAAAATAAATACCGTTAGTTTCATAGCCACTAAGTCTTTTAATGCACATTAAACTATACTACAGTATTTTTTCATGTGGAAGTGGCCTTTCTACTCTAGACTTATCTGACAAAAACTTAATGTTTTCACAAATTATCCACATTCAAATGTCAAAATCAGCCTTTACCTAATTTTTAGATAGCAGCATGTCTTGCATTTTCTTAAACCAGACTACCTGTTTGTTTTATTACTTATTTTACTGATAAAGCCAGATAAAAGAAATTGTTTGTTTGCCCTTCTTTTTTTTTTTAAATGATAAATAGGGGTGGGTGGAAAAAGTTGTGTTTTTTATTTTATTTATTTTTTTTTTGTAAATACTCATCAGATGGAATAAAAATAACCCACAGAGTCTTTGAATGGCAATAAAAAAAAATAAAAAAAACTTTTTTAAAGTTTTTTGTTTTTCTGCCCCTATTTTTTGCAGTGAGTTAGGGGCAGGTAGAGGAGGGCAAACAAACAATTTTTTTTGACCTAATACAACAATACTATAGTACGTAACTGTAATTTGATACTTGTCTGACATTCTGTAATTATGACTCTGTTTGTAACTGGTGACCATGTTTTCAAACTTATTTTGGTTCCAATCCACACATTTTTATTATTTCATCTTATTTTAGACTTATTGCATTTTATTCTTATGTGTACTCTTATTTATTTATAAAATATACTGTATTGTACCTTTTGTGTAGGAAAAGCAATGAAACAAACAAAGAATACATAGGTATACACTACCCTATTTAAAAATAGTATTTTTATATACTAAATGAGGCATGTTAAGTTGTCGCACAGGCCAGTATTGAGTAAATGAGCTATAAAATATGGGAGCTCTAAAAATTGCCTAAAAATCCCAATTTTTTTTCACTATAGATCAACAGTTTAATGCCTTATTAATCATGTCCCAAAGTATTAGTTCTGGAAGTGGTCAACAAATTGTTTATTTAATATATTTAGATAGTTAATTCTATTAAACAATGTATGAACAAATAACTTTGGAAGGCAATTACTCAAAATCATGTTAATCTTGACTCTAAGAGTGCCGTATTTTCACTTTTCAATAACTTAGGCTTGAAAAGTTCAATTTTAATGAATGACCCCTCATTTTAAAGATAACATACTCAGGTATATGAAAATACCAATAACTTGAATTTCAAATTTTGCTACAACTTAGCCATTTTGCCACAACATGCCTGAAATATGCAACATAAGTTGGCATGCCTGCTTATGAAATCTCACCCTTTTAACATGCTTTAGTCACATGCATCCACACACACACAAGCACACACACAAGCTGAGTGACCCTCCCAGGTGCTCAACAAGGTTTATATGTGTATGCTATCTATAATAATAGTTTTCAAGGTAATATTGTGCAGTTTTAATGTTTCAACCTCAAATAACCCCTGTACCTTTGTAATGTATGTAGAATAATCAGTTCCCGTATACCTTGTTCAATAGGTTACGATGACCATGATGGTCCATTTGGTCATCACGTCTCAGCCAAAAACCGAAACCACATAAAGCAAAACTATTCTACCAATGGCCTGCTCAGATCAACATATGCAGTGCAACAGTGTGGCTATGATATGGTGGATGGACAGAACAATAAAGAAGAAACCATGGATTCTGACCAGATGAGAAAATTGGAAGGTGAATTAACATTCTTATTATCTTTGGTAATATGGAATATGAAAACTCTGACTTAAATGCAGAATCACTGCAGTGTAACAAACACATTGGTAGTTACCAAAGGATCACATATTTTAGTGACAACATCGATTAGGTGTCCAGTTGGGCAGAGCTTTCCTTTCCCCTGTCAGTGGAGAAAAAACAATTTGTCAGGGAAAGAAAAAAAATTATGAAGAATTTTTTACATAGTGCTGTAGTAGGCTCTAACATTGATTAAATAAGCTTTGAAACCCCTAAATCGTCAATGGTCAGCTGACACATTGTATGTTTGGCTGAAGTGTGAAGTGATTTTGACCCATCATTATTTTACAAGAGATTAATGAGTTTTTGATTATTCTATTTTAGAAATAGCTCTGACGCTGGCCAAGATCGGAGACAATGTCAACGAACGCTATAACTTTCCTGAGTGGAACCCAAACTTTAGCTTTGACAGACAGATTGACGGGTTATTGGCAGAACGAGTTGACCAATCAGATGTTCAGCAGGTCGCTCTTGTGTTGCGTTTTGCTAAGGATGTACTAAAGACTGCTGTAAATAAGCAAGGAATCCTTAATGAAACTAAAACTTACATTTCAAGGCATTTTTCAGGATGGATTAGCGGATTGTAAACATAAGATGTTTCTTGAGTGGCGGATGAAAAGTGCCCTCTGTTTTCTGAATATTTCTTTTAAAATGTATTGGCCAAGTCAAATGGACATTTGACCAACAGACAATTTGCTACCACATCCAATTTTATAACTTGTGGTGTTCCTCTAAATGAGCAACTCAAGGTTTTGTTTTAAATTTGTAGGTTTTTACTTGATTGTTTGTGTATAGCAATACAAATGATTTTAATTTATATCTATTGACATTCCAACATTTCAATAATGTCTAATAATTACTGCAATCTGATTTTAGACTTCTCCTTATTATGTGAATGTGTACTTAATACCAAGTAAGGTCCAAGGTCCAGAGGTATGACTCTCACATTGTCAGCGAAAAGTTGCAGGTTGGAATCCTGCTGAACTTTTTCATTGGTGGGTTATGCCTGATACGTTTATGATATCATTTATTCCTAAAATTGAGCATTGTTTCTATTACTTTTTCTATTTATATATTTGAACATTAAAGACGAGCAATCCGCAAGTGTGAAAAAAATTGCTGGCCCAACCTGGATAACAGCAATAGTAATAACAAGATAATCGGAGATTGCAGACCCTCTCGTCCTGAAAAAACAATGGCATTTAATTGCACGTCTGCCACACCACTTCATCATAGGCCTCGCGTGGCAAGCCCATTCACTCGAGTCTGCTCTGCCTAGCCTAGCTTTGTCAGCCGTTGCAGCTGGAAAGTACATAACATTCTAAGGAAAGGGTGATAATAATTAGGACCCCCAATCTCTCACTTTCAAGGTGATTGTCATACCACTTGACCACTGGGGCACTGGAGAAGAAG